AGAAACTTCTGGAGATGGGGCCCAGATGAGGAAGTAGATCACTGGTGAGAAAGGAAGAGTTTATTTTGGCTATGGTTCCAGAGGGATAAGAGTCCATCATAGAGGGGAGGCATGGCAGCAAGTCACCAGTATGGCGCTTGGAGCAGGAAGCTGAGAGCTCACACCTTCAACCTCAGGCAAAAAGCAGAGAGTAAGCTGAAAGTGGAGCGAGGCTCTGAACTCTCAAAGTCCATGCCAGTGACGCGCTTCCTCCAGCAAGGCCACACCTCCTAAAGGTTTCAGGACCTCCCCCAACTAGGGCCATAATGTTGAAATACTTGAGCCTGTGGGAGACATTTCTCCTTCAAAGCACCCCACTCCCTTAAGTTGTCTCCTGGGTATTTTGTCACAGTGACGAAAAGTTTATTAATGCAGGAAACTGATTATCAGAGATGTAGTCATTATTGTCTCTAGCTGATGAGGTAGTTCACGGGTTTTAGAAAGCATTTGTGAGAATTTGGGAAAGTCTGGAGACACAGGCTGGAGAAGAGACTACACGGGAGATTCTCCTGGGATCTCAGAACAGAATTTGGTAGGATTACTGAGAGTATAATCTGTGCCCAGGACATTTCAGCTGGAAACAAGGACCCTGAGAAATGTGACCTGAGGCCACGTGTGCTGCATTCTGGCAAAGAACTTGTCTACAGTTTGCACATGCCTTGCAACTTTGAATAAGGGTCAATTTTAAAGTAATGGACTTACAGGCCCCTGGGACCTTGCTCCTATGAACCTACAGCAATGGTGTCAGCATGCACAAGACCCATGCAAACCCAAACAGACAAAAACCCAGCATAGAGCAGGGGAAATGGACAGCAGGCCCCAACCTCAGCCAAAGAACTATTGGTAACTGATAACTGCTAGGTGAGGGAGAGTTGATCTTCTTAAAAGGAGTGACTCTAGGCCAGACCCTAGTAGATGAATTTGCATTGAGGGACATCTGGGTACACTAACTTGACTCCACAGGCCTTAATATAAATGATAGAAATCTGGTGGGGGGCTATTGGAGGGTACGGATGGGGGAGGGATATAAAGATGATTAAGATGTTTTGTATGAAGTACATAAAAATTAAAAAAAAACAAAAAAACCAACAACAGCGAGAACCCCACAGTTCCGAACATTCGAAACAAGCCTCTACTACTGAGCTTCACCCCAGCCACTAATTTGTTTTCTCTTGCAGATTTGGGGCTTGAACCTAGGATGTTAGAGAAAACAGAACATGAAATGCCTCCCCAGGAAAACCTCAGGCAAAATGTGGAGCCTGTCATGGTATGATCCTGCCCCACATGTCTGTGCTCAGCAGTGGTCAGTTGTCTGTCTGACTTCTTTCACTATTAAATTCTCAAGCAGGTGGACTTCAGGCTGCGGGGAAGACAGGACAGCCTCAAATAGAGGACGCTTAATTCTGAATCAAAGACTTGTTCTTACCTAGTTTTCCCGTGGAAGAATTTATAATTTCTTGCAGTTTCTGTCATGGGGAGATGAAAGGTGAAGTTGACAGTTTCAAAAGGACCATTAAAGCCAGGCATGGCATCTCACATCTGCAACCCCAGCACTCAAGAGACTGGGGAAGGAGGATTGTTGTGAGTCTGAAGCCAACCTGGGCTACATAGTGAGTTCCAGAACAGCCAGAGCTATAGAGTGAGATCTTGTCTCAAAAAACACAACAGGGGGGCCTGTGAGATGGTTCAGCAGATAAAGGCTCTTGCCATGAAAGGCTGGCAAACCTGAGTTTGATCCTTGGAACCCATGTACAGATGGAAAGAGAGAACAGACTCCACGAGTTTGTCCTCTGACCTCCAAATGTGCCTGTACACATATACCATTCGTATACATCTATAATAATGATAAATAAAATCAGGGCTTAGTGAGATGGCTTAGTGGGTAAGGTACTTGCTGCCAATCTTGATGACTTGGGTTTGATCCCCAGAAACTACATAGCACAAAGGAGAACATTAACTTCTGCAAGTTGTCCTCTGACTTCCACATACACACCGTGACACACGCAGGCACGCCCGCATACATGCACGCACTCACGTAAAATAAAAGCACAAAAACAAAACAAAATCCCGAAAACTCCAAATTAAAGGACAGTTAATTGGAAGCAAAGATTGAACTCAGGGAATTCAGTGTTTGCAGTGCTGAGAAAGCATGTGGGCCTGTGCTTATATGGCACAGTGCTCCAGCGTGGGCTACGGTGTGAGATCCTGTCGTAGAAAACAAAACCAAAAACCAACCAACGAGTCAAGCAAACAAACAAAAAGTCAGGCATGTATCCTGCCCAGCGACATCACTGCCTCCTGAAAGTTCATGACCAGGCCTTTTCACTAATGTGAGGTTAGCCCAGGCCCAAACCAGCATAATTAAAATTCCACAGGAAAACCAGGTTTCAATAACAGAATGCCACAGGAAGGGGCAGGGTGGGGAAAGAGCTTTATCCAATGGTGACTGTAACAGGGCAAAAGTTGGGAGAGAGGGCCCCCAGTCAAATGATACTCTGGGTGCCCCCGCATTTCTCCTTTAACAAGGCGTGCCTTTGTTTCTGCACATAGCAATAGAGTTTCTGACTGTCCATCTGGAAAGGAAGTTTGAGGACTGGTGCAATTGAAAGTTGCATGAGAGTACAAAATGAAAAGCAAATTCCCTAGAGATGATTCTGCCACAGATCCCCAGTTTGATGCTTTATTTTGTGCCTAGCAATCCCAACAAATGATAATAATAATTTTATTAATGGTCTGACTAAGCAATCACCATTATCATAGAAGATCAATTCTTCCATTTGACGTTTTGGTTGTTAGCCTTAGCCTTTAACAGCTGCACTAACCCTCCAGCCCTAAGTCTTCCATTTGAAAACTTGAAGAAATTCTAAATCTTAACACCATAAACTTCCATGCACTTTTTAATTTAATTTTAGTTTTTGAGACATGATCAGTGGGTTCTCTGAGGTCAGCTCCTTTCTCTTCCCTCTTCCAACTCCTCCCGTAGGTTGCAAAGTTTCACCTGGATGTTTTTTTTTTTTTTTTAGACAGGGTCTCCTGGTGTAGCCCTGGATGACCTAGAAGTCTCTAGTTAGACCATACTGGCCTTGAACTCACAGAGATCTGTCTACCTCTGCCTCCTGAGTGCTGGGATTAAAGGTGGGCCACCATACCTGGTTCCTTTTTTTTTCATAATGGTGTTGGATATTGAAATCAGAGCCTGATGCATGCCAGAGAAGCACTGGCCACTGGGCTACACCCCCAGCCTCAACAGTCTACTCTTGGTCTAGTCATGACCTTCAGGGTTATCTCAGCTTCTGTACAGCTGAAGAAATGTACCTGAGCACCACTCTTTTCATAGCACAGGTCTTTCTGTTTTAATCTAGCTTTAGAACCATCAAGTGTGACTTGAAGGTACTCACAGCAACATGGTTCCAACTCATCCAGTGAACGTGCAAGTGGTGATATCTGACTTCTCTGGCTGTTACTGGAACAAGGTCTGTCACAAGCACATAACATGCCCAAACCTCTCCATCATCTTTCTGGCCCTTCTCCTTTGACTAATTTCAATGAGCCGCCTCAGACTTACTTGTCTGGTGCTTTTAGGCCTCATTTCTCAATCACACTAATTCTTGCCATGGGCAAGTCTGGTTGCTTTCATCTAAGGAGGTCTGAATGGTCTCCCTGTAAATGGGAGTCTGAGCTCCCTTCTGAGTACTCTGGGCCCCAAGGCAGTTAATTACAAGCAGAGTCTCACTGAACTTTGCTGTCCTTGAGTTTCCAAAGAAATGCATTAGATGTAAGGCAGTTTTCTTAAGTTGGAAACATGAAATGTTTTCAGTTCCCTGGAGCCAATGATGCCTCTGGCATTGCTTTTAAAAGGAGAGAGCTAACCACAGAAAATTATAGGCTATCCTACCACAAAGTGGGAGATCTTGGCAAAAGCACTTGCCTTCTAGTTACAAGCAAGAAAGCCACACACTAGCAATTTATTGTGGGCTCAGTCCTTCACGGAAAGAAGCTGGTTTTTGCAGTCTATTTGTTAATTTTGCTCACTAACCTCAGGCAACATTGGATGCTCCCTCAGTCATTTTGTTGTATTCTTCACAGCATCCAGACAGCACAAGGACATTTGTATTTCCTTCGTTCCCTCTCCACTCTACTCAGTAGCCCACTGACACACATTTCTGCTTATGAAGGACTGTTTCCCATTTGGAGGCCAGACCATGAGTTGGCACTAATGAGTTGGCCCTCGATGACTATTTACCAAATAGCTATGGATTGGCAAGATTTCTAACAGACTGGATAACAGCTCTCTCCATTGCCATAGGCTCTAGAATGTGAGGCAGAAAGGGGCCATCTCAAAACTTCCTACAAAAGGTCCATGTGGCTGTGGGAGGCATCTTGGTACCTGCTGGCTTAGAATTTTCCCAAATTCCACAACCATCCAAGCCCAGGGTAGATCTAAGATGGTTTCAGAACTACAAACAATACAGTGGAGACAAGCGGATTTGCAGACAGAAAATAGACTGAGACCCCTAATAAGAAGCAAAGCCTTAATCATAGATGGCAGCTATTTTTAAATAGCACATGGAAGAAAAAGACAGTTTATGTCTCTTTTTCTCCCTCTGCAGTGTCTCAGATGGGAAGTTTTTGAAATGTATTTTTCTAAACATTGAAAAAAAAATCCCCTTCTCTGGTAATAAAATCATGGGAGACCTTAAATCTCCATGTCATGACTCATATTTGTCTTGCCTAAATTCATCAAAGAATGGGCTAGGAGTCTAGATTCTAGAACATAGGGAATGGTAAACAGTGTTGTGTGCATATTAAATGCTCCTCAAAGGCCATGTGGTGCTATTGGGAGATGTAGGAACTGTTAGGAGGTGGAGCTTGGGGGAAGGAAGTTAGATCATGGGTGACGCCCAGGAGGGGGTGAATTGGGACCACAGCGCCCCCCCTCTTCCTGGCTGCCTCAGTGAGCAGCTTTCTCTGCCACACACTTCTCCCATGGTTTACTGCCTCACTGCAGGCCAAAGGCCAAGAGACCGTGGACTGAAACACGAGCAACCAACCATCAGCCACAGTAAGTTGAACTTTAGGTTGATTTCTTCAGATGTTTCCTCGCGATGACAGAAAGTCCACCAACAGGATTGCTATTCATTCTACAGTCATAAAAAGGTTGGGTCCTGCACACTCCTTTCTGTTTGTGTCTTGAGCCACCCTCCCTAGAAGCCAGATGGCAGTGTTGATGTGGCCCCTGTGGAGCAGCTGGTGCACATACAGCTTTAAAATGCAGTTGCTGACAGAGGAGTGGCCATGTTAGCTCAAGCTAAGGATGATTTTGGAACAGCCCGTCTTCTCTGTGGGTCTTCCCAGTCCTTGATGGTAATTACCTCTTTTCTAAGGATTTTTCATTGCTCTCAAGAATCCAATATTATGTCAGTTGGTAAGTAAGGGAAAAACCATAAAATGCCTAGGAATTTACAGCCTCTGTAATAACATTTTTTTTCTTGTTTTTGCAGTACAGTTCAGTGACCTCTAGATGGGGATAAAGTTTCCAACCAGTTTCTTTGCATGGAATAAATGGTGAGTCTTCAAACTGCTTTACCAGCTCTTAAAGAGTTAATTGACAGGGCAGTTGGGGTTGGCTGATTTTCTTGTGGCTCCAGCATTCCTTTTTTTTTCTTTCTTTCTGATTCTCAGTCATACGCGGTTTGTCCATGACACAGAGCTCTGAAAAGCCAAGCATGAGATTGGAAGCCCGGCTTAGGAAATACAGTTTAGATCTCACTTGAAGTCTTAGGACAACACAGTTCAAGTGCCAAATTCAAACATCTTTGAGTTCTAATTTATTTACCGTGAAAAAATGTATACGTTCCTGTTTTTCATTGCAAGGTATGTGGTCAATAACTTCCATGAACTGAGCAATGGATTGAATTTCCTCCAATGACACCGAACAGCAGAAGCAACAACTGAACAAATCTAGGAGGAGAAATTTTGCTGGGGAAGATCTTCTTGTATTCCAAAACTTGGTTTTCCAAAAGCCAGGTGATAACAGTTGTTCAAACATGTGTGTTCCAGTTTGCTCTTAAATTTTAATTTGAAAGACAGAACAACCTTTATCTATTTTATTATGTTAGTTACTTTTCCCACTACCATGAAAAAATACCAGACAGAAGTGACTTAAGAAAGGAAAGGTTTGTTTTAGTTCAACAGCAGTTTACAGTGAGTTATAAGCTCTCCATTGCACAAGGTCTGGCTGAAGAACACCTGTTACAGTCACGTCTCCTGGGGAGATATGTCTGTTCAGCCCAGAGGGACATAGAGGACAGACCAAATTATGAAAGTCACCCAAATCCAATTTGGTGAACCAATGAGTTGGTTGAACTTACAGGAGTATGGCTGAGGGATTATGTGCAGGATCATAGGTGACTTCTAAACAGTTGTATCACTGTGAAGTGCCACCTTATCATAGATGGTGACTCATGGAAGCTATATCATGGTGTCCCCCCTCCAGTCAACCCTAACCCCCTCTATGCTGTAGCACCCCCCAACACAGCTGTGCAGCTGGGACAGAATTACAGACAGTTGGAAGGGGAGTGAAGAATGAGGGAGCGACTGTACTCTCAAGTAAGAGTCTAATGACTCTTCCCACCCCATCCTTCTATGAGGGAACATCAACAGGCCTGATCTTGTTGAAGGTTTCTTGTGGGCAGTCACAGGTACTCTGATAAGTCGGTAATGACTGTTATACTTAGAGGACAGCATTCTAGAACAAACTCTACACTGTTGACTACCAGGCCTTGCCTGTTGTATTAGTTATTTTTTCTCATGGCTGTGACAGAACACCCGACGAAAGCAATTTAAGGAAGGAAAGGTTTATTTTTGGCCCACAGATTGAGGGTACAGTCCATCATGGTGGAGATGATGTGGGGGCAGAAGTGAGAGGCAGCTGGTCACATTTTCCCACATGCTGGGCAAGCACCCTACCCACTGAGCCACATCCCCAGCTCTGATGTGGGTTCAATGCATAGGTTTCATAAAGCCAAACTATAGCTTTAATGAGATTTATATAAATGGCTATTTCAACCACTTCGCTAAAGCTTGAATCCAAAATGTTTCTACTTACATGGAAATAAATTGAGGTTAATTCTAGTTTCCTGTAGTTTCCTGAGAGGTGCAACTTTGAATGTTCTTAGGAAAGAGACTTGTGCCCAAAGATGTTTGACTATATCCTTTGAAACAGATGAATAAGCTTATGTTTCCCCTAGAGAAAAGCAGATATAGCTATTTCAGTTCAACCTGTAAGATTTCCATGTTGCTATTTCTTCCAAAAAAGATTCCTTAGGCTGGAAAAATTAACTGAACACACTTTTAAGAACCAGTCTTCAGGGTGGCGGTGGGGGGGGGTGTGTGGCTCACACCTTTAATCCCAGTATTCAGAAGGCAGAAGCAGGCAGTTTGCCTTGAGATCAAGGCCAGCCTAATCTACAAAGTTCCAGGCCAGCTGAGGCTACAAAGAGACCCTGTCTCAGAAAAACCAAAAAAAAAAAAAAAAAAACCAACCAAACAAAAAAAAAAAAAAAAAACCACAAAAACCCAACAACAAAAAAAAACAAAAAACTGGTCATA